CCCACTGACCTCCCCACTGGTCAACCAACTGACCTCCCCACTGGTCAACCAACTGACCTCCCCACTGGTCAACCAACTGACCTCCCCACTGGTCAACCAACCCAGGAGCCCAATGAAGAGGTTTAGCAATATTTTATGAACATGTCAGCCAGCCACTAAGAGACTGTGCATGCAGGAAATTGAGTTGGGTCTCTAGTTAGTCCATTTTTTGTTAAATATAATTGTGATTTGTTTGCAAGACTCTTTCCTTGATTTTCTCACGTGATTGCGTTCATGGCATCCCTCATTGTCTCGTGCACTTGCGGTTCATCCTCTCCGTTTGGGAACAACTCCATTCGTCTCTTGTTCTTTAGGGGCCTCTTGCGCTTTTCCGGAACCTTCGGATCCCTTGAGTGACGAGGACACTTTGGCAATGTTGCCGTTGTACAAAAGCAACTTGTGGTTTCGGTAAGCCTCGAGAGCACCATGCATGTTGTACGTGTCGATGCAGATCTCACACCACACATGATTTTCTGGGATGCCGTCATTTGTTTTAGGTTCTTGGGCTACGGGATATCATAGGACTACCGTACTCATCTTGCATGAAGCCAAATCCTTCCTCCGACACTGGCTTGCAAGCTGCAAGGGGGTTTAAGGTGGTTCCGTCCAGGATGTAAGCCAGCCGTAGACTGCTAATAATACTGACGTATGTTCGCAACATATCTTTTGCAATTGTATGGAATCTTGATAGTTCGTACACTCACCGGATAGATGAAATATCGAAATTCACGCTAATTCTAGCTATGATACCCCCTATTTTCGAGTCGGCCGAGCAAAGACCTTATATACCCTTGTTGTGCAATTCCCAAACATCGGCTAGGGTTCTAAGGCTATTTTTGCAATTTTTTGGCAGGTATATCAGAGCACAACATCTGCTATGATGGTAAAGTTTCACAAGGTTTAATTTTGCTGGTAACTTGCAAAGTGCTTAATTTTGCAGGTTACTTGCATTTTGCAGGTTACTTGCAAATTGTGCTTTATGTCGCTCTGTCGCTATTTTGTATTGTCTCCGAAATCGGCGGCTGTACATGAACCCCGGAATCTCTGTGTTGCTAAATCTCTGTGTTGCTAAATGTTCTTTTTACATCTCTGTGTTGCTAAATGTTTTGTACTCATACCCGCAGAAATATATCTCGCGTGAATGCGCACGCGTGAGTGCATATGTTCGTGCTAATATTACATTACATTATATTAATACATACATACATTACACATTAATCTTAATACATTAATCATCTAAAGTACATATTACACATTAATGAAGTGTTGCTGAATTTTGCAAGTAAACATTAGCTACATGACATGACATGACATGACATGACACGACATGACACGACATGACACGACATGACACGACATGACACGACATGACACGACACGACACGACACGACACGACACGACGGGACACGACGGGACACGACGGGACACGACGTGACACGACGTGACATGACGTGACGTGACACGACATGACGTGACGTGACGTGACATTACATGACATGACGTGACATGACATGACATGACATGACATGACATTACGTTACGTTACGTTACGTTACGTTACGTTACGTTACGTTACGTTACGTTACGTTACGTTACGTTACGATGAGTGGAAATCCACGTGAACTCTTATAGTGGCGCGAAGCAGCTGTGCTGGTTTAGCCAGGTGGAAGAATCGCTGTGACATCTGTATACTCCAACAGTATGGTCAGCAGTGCAACCATCTGGCAATACAGGAATAGCTGAGGAACTCTATATCCCCAAGGATGATGCAGTCATAGCAAAGTAGCTTGTCAGTACCGGCCAAATGCGATGCAAGAGAGCCAAAGCTGCATGGCTGAGTGCTGTCGAGGATTTTGTGTTCAGTTGATTTTAGCATAGTTTAAAGAAGAAGAAGTAATGAAAGGATAGTTGACCAGATACAGCCTCAGTAGCACTAGTTTCCCCACAGTTGAAGCCTTCATGTGTGGATTCTGCCAGGGCAAAGAGTAAGTTGTTCAATCATTGCTGTGGAGATTGAATAACAGTGACAGCCAGCTTTGTGGCTGGCCCATTCACAGTGCCAGAGGAGTGAGACCCCAAAGCAGAGTTCTCCACTCCCAACTTCTTGTGCATCTACCCTGACTGGATCTCATAGGATTAACATTGTCGCAGATTGCAGACACAAGAAGCGGCTACTGGTACGTGTGGAAATCGAAGAGGAAGGATAAGAGGAAGAAGGAAAACCGGACGATCAGTCCTCCGACGCAGCGAACGGCCGAAAACTCGATTCGAGACGGTTTCGAGCAGAACCAAGTGGTTCACCTACTATCCTGGACCTGATCTACACGATACACCAGCTAGACCCTCGGTTAATAGGCTAAGTACAAGCATCCGTCGAGCTGAAAGGTATCGGCCGATCCACCAACAAGAAATCGCGAACAAAATCTGCCGATCACCCTAACTCGACCAATATCGAAGCGGTAGCGACCAAACCAAGACGGTCACCTACCAACCTGAGGGTGCTTGTAAAGATAGTTCAGCCAGTTTCTTGTTGATCAGCTTGGTTATCGAACGTGACGGCCGTTCCTGTTGGTTGCATCATTGTCGACTTTCGATACGTAAATCTCCAGTCGTGCCTCCGGTAAGGTACTCCGGTAAAGGGAACTGGTACTCACACGGTACTCACAAAGCCGGTACCGTACCTCGTCCCGAAAATGCGCCAAGCCTAAGATCCGAGTCGCCTCACATTTTCGATCGATTCGCGAACTCGTCGGAAGACTCGGTACGAAAGATACAGTTCCGAGAACACTACAAGAGCAACTCGAAGCACCACGGAGACACCGTTCTTTGACTGTTTCGAAGACATCCAAGATAGTAGAAAGCACGGAACAACCCCCTCTGCCATCTACCAACAGTGCACGCCTTCAGGACCACTTTTGGATTTTCTACAGCAACACATCTACAGAACCACACTCAGCCAGCACAACCACAGGAGTCATCATGGGTACTAGCAGAAGCAAGAGGAGGAAGAAGCAGCAACAGCAGCGATAACAGCAGCAACAGATGCAGCAACAGCAGCAGCCACCAACACAGGATGTGGCAACACCGCCGGCAACAACCATGCCACCGGTACCACCACCACCGGCAACACCACCAAGTAGCAGTGAACCACCACCACCACCATCCACTCCTATCAAGTCACCAGTGGATCCCCCTTCAGTTCACCGGCTACCTGTGGTTCCCCCACGATCTTACCAACCCAGTGAATCATCTGTTGCATCCTCTAACCTTGCCAACCATGATATCACCATGATTAGCCAACAGCTAGCACAACTGGTGGAAGCATTGCATCAACAGAAGGAGGAGATCAGGGAGCACCAGGCTGCTGCAATACATCTAAGAAGCGATTTTTAGGTAGTGCTAGAATCGACATGCGTGCAGGTACCAAACGCCAACCAGCACGATCCCGATCCGTGACGTAATTTCTTCCAAGAATGCGTGCAGTGATTGGAATCGGGATTGTGTGTTCCACATGGGCATGCAACGAAGGCCCGCCCGGCAAGACTGCCTGCTTCACGATTTGGGATCACTTTTTGGACCGTCTTTTCGGGAAGGCAAACCCTCTCTTTGGTACCATAAACTATATCCCGATTGGTAAGCGGGCGGTTCCCCAGCACACAGAATCCAAATCACCAGCCAGTGCGCCTAGCTAGTAGCAGCTAGTGTTGGCTAGCTAGCTTGCAGCCATGGCATCATCAAAGAAGGAGTTTGAGTGCCCTTACTGCAATAAAAAATTCAAATCTGTGGGATATCAGCAATCTCACATGCAACAGAACAAGCGCTGCCACCAACTGATGCAGAAAGCCCTTGGTTTGGACCTTGCTTTCAATCCTATAGGTGCTAGACAGACAAGATCAAGGGCCAGAGCTGATCAGCTTGGTCTCACTGACACCGGTCGGCCCGCAAAAGCACCAAGAAAGGCAGCAAGAGGACAAGATTCCAGGGCAGCCATTCCACAAGGATGCAGGACGAGGATGCCCATCCAGGGCCTCACTCCAAGGTAGGGGTGGTTCCAAAGAAGACGCAGACCATCGAAACCTGCAGCAAATCCTCAATCGGCAACAAAAAGGGGCCGATGGGGAAGGAAATGGGGAGTAGATGAGGATGGTGATTCCCTACCAACATTGATCGTTTCAACGCGATTCGGATAGTGAGCCTACCAGTGAGGACAGTGAGCTCAGTTTGGAAGGGTCAGTTGCCACATTGCAAGGTGACAACGAAGAGGACTTGGATGATACCGGCCCCCCAGACGAAAGCAACATAAACGCATTCAGAGCCTAGCTACTGTGTCAAGGCAAAGAAATTTCCCGAGCTAACCGATTCGGAGAATTGAGGGGTCAAACTAATGGATATCCTCCGTAGGAAAAGGACACCTCTGGATACCTATGATGATGTACTTGCTTGGCATTTGGAGGAAACTGGGTCGCTAATGGACAACGAAAAGCTGGGAAAGAATCCAGACTACCTCAGCAGGAAAAAACTGCTCCGAATTCTTAAGGAAAGGTACAACATGAGCGACAAGTTACCTTTTGAAAAGGAGATAGTCCTTCCTCATTGCAATGCCCGGATCAAAGTCATTTGCTTCAGTGCTCGGAATTGTGTGGAGCAATTGCTTACCGATCCACGCCTCACAGATGAGGATTTCTGCTTTTTCAATGATGATCCGATGGCTCCACCACCTGAAAAGGCGACCTATGTGGGTGAGTTGAACACGGGCGAGGCATACCGAAACGCCTATAATGAATACGTGGATGACCCACAGAATGAGATAGGCATTGGGGTCCAGTTCTACATTGATGGGGCAGTTACGGGCCAGTTTGACAACCTTTCAATCACCGCTTTGAAGATGTCATTATCCTGTTTCACCCTTGACTATCGGAAGAAGGATCAAGCCTGGGCGATTGTTGGCTTTGTGGTTAACTATTCGGAAGGTAAATCCAGAGGAAAGAAGATGTTTGCGGATTCTCGTCATGACCAAGCACTTGAGGATTTGGAAGGTATGTTTGTGGGTAGGGAAGGAGAAACCTCCAATAAAGTTACAAAAGCGCAAGACTTCCATGCCCAAATTGAAACCATCTTGAGCAACTACATCCCCTTGGAGACGAATGGGATGGTATGGGACCTTCCTTACCGAGGAAAGCTCTACCGAAACAAGACGCTGGTGTTCTGGACTGCAATGGTGAGGGCTGACACCGATGAGGCAGAACTGCTTTGTGGAAAGTACAGGAGCCGGGGGAACAATGTGAAGCACCTGTGTCGATATTGTGTCTGTCCCAATGAAGAAACTGACGACCCAAATGCGAAACATGAAGCCAAGACCATCTCAATGATCATCTAAGAAGCACATCTTTTGGTAATCCAGAATCCGCATGGGATTTTGCTATCATATCCTTATTGATTCCTTATGGATTGGTATGATATTGCTTTCAGTTTCAGCTCACAAGTTCCTCCTTTGTAAGGTAATATCATGCTGATTGTGGAAGGGCATCCATTCCTATTGAGAACCACTAAGTTACCTGACAGTATGGACCTTCATAGATAGACAACCTTACCTTAGAGATTGTGTAGCTAAAGAGCACACGAATCCACAAGAGGCATCCTCTCTGGTTGGTAAGCGCAATGCTGCTGGGATAAGCAGAGCCTCTTTTTGGATGGGTGGGTGGGTGTTCTAGAAGAGGAGAAGCCACTATTAGTAAGGTGGTTCCTTGTTCTGTAAGAGGAGAAGCCACCATTCGTGAGGTTGCAGTCAGTTCTTGTGAGGTGATAAGCCCTCCTCTTGATGTGGCGCTGCTTCTGTTCCGCAAGGTTGACTTGGATTTATAAGGAGGGCAAGCTGTTTTTGGAAGTGTCATTGGAGAGTACTCTCTGTACACAGTAAAATATTCAAACAGACTTCACGGAACAGCCTGCCCGGCTGCCCTCTTCTTTGAAAGCAGCCTCACTCCTCACTCCATCGCAAACAACAAAAACACTCACAATGGTGGAGAAGGAGCGGCCGGTCGCTACTACTATTACGAGAGGTAAGTCTATTATCAGGTCTATTATTGAAGGCGCAGCACTGACTTCTCTCCCTCATTGAATTCCTATGGCAAACAGGAGGTAAATCCAAGCTTAACCGTCAACAATAATGAGTGCTGTATCCAATCGGCCGAACAGATCGATTGATTCGATTTGAGGTAGCCTATTATCAAGAGTGTTTGTTTGTTGAAGGTGCATAACTGAAAGCCATCCCTCATTCATTTCTATGGACCATGGGCAGGCAGTCAGATATCGGCCATCAAAAAGGTGAGTTGTCCTTTAATTATTCGAGTCGATCGATCGCACCTCTTCCGGTATTATCCATGCCTCACTCAAGCTGGCTGTCTCCGGTGCAGATTCGAAAGCCATCCCTCATTGAATCCTATGGACCATGGGATGGCAGTCAGTTCTCGGCCCATGACGGCCAAGTTGGTGCAATTTGAAAAACAAGGGTAAGTCTCCGGTTGTCTGCAGTATCAGAAGAGAAGAGAAAACCATATCTATTTCTTACTTTCTATTCTCTTACTGCTGACGGCCGACGAATTACCATTGCGTCGAGTCCTTTCGAACGATCTAACAGCAAGAGGAGAGGCTACCGCTACGAAGGAGACTGTTAACTCAAGCCCTATCAACAGCATGAACGCACGGAGAGGATCGTCGTCGAGTCATTGAATGCGACAAGAGGAGGCTACTACACAACAACACACAAGAGAGTGGATCCTACTACTGGATTCATCTCTCCAGTGTTATTTCCTAGTGTTTTGGTGGGGATTCCTGTGTCGGTAATACCCATTTTCCTGAATGCACAAGTCCTCCACTTGGTGGATTTGGCCAAGTTGAGCGACTGGTCTTTCGTACGATAGATAGATGTAACTAGTAAGATAATAGAACACCGATTACCAACCAAATAGACCATCCTTTCATTAGATAGACACCTTATAGATCATTAGATAGACAGCTTATGGATCAATAGGAGTGCTAGCTTCATGATTGATAACCTTTCCTTGTGGATAGGTGAGGTATCATACAGATTTGTATCGTAGGGTCGACCTTCAGCTTTAATTGATAAGGTACCTTATAGATTCGTATCCTACCTTCAGATGCGCTTCTCAGATGATCATGGACCTCATCGACACAAAGGACTTGGAAGGTTTGAAAGCCATCTCGCAGCAGTACATTGACAACGCCTGGTACAAGGTCCGATTCGATCCGAAATATGATACAGGAATTCATGGTGCATGCCCCTCCGAGATGCTCCATGCCATCCATCTGGGTATCTTCTTGTATGTGAGAGAGTGTTTCTTTGCCCAAATCGGCCCAACTTCACAGTTGGCTAAGGATATTGATGCTTTGGCACAGGAATATGGTGCCCTGTTCCGTCACAACTCTGAACGAGACCTTCCCAATTGCAAATTCACCCATGGAATCAAGCAGAAGAAGAAGCTCATGGCCAATGAGTACCGAGGCGTTTTGTTACTGATTGCTGCTGTTTTGAGATCCACCCAAGGCCGTGAAATGTTGAGCAAGAACAAGCATTTCCAGGAGGAAGCGTATGTCAAAGACTGGTTGTTGCTGGTGGAGTCGCTTCTAGAATGGGAAGCTTTCCTTTGCGAACCAAAGATGAGGGTTGCCGATGTTAAGAGGTTGGAGCGCAAGAATCGGTTCATTATGTACCTCTTTGCCAAGATCTGCAGACGAACGGAGGGTATGGGGTTGAAAGTATTCAAGTTCCACGCAATAATTCACATGGCAAGGGATATCCTTTTGTATGGTGTCCCCAAGGAACATGACACCGGAAGCAACGAAAGTGGCCACAAAGTAACCAAAGTTGCAGCCAAGCTCACCCAAAAGAACCTGTTGACATTCGAACTTCAAACGGCAACCAGACTGATAGAGTTCCTACTGGTTGAGTGGGCCATGGCCGAGATTAATGGTCGGAGATTGTGTGATTACTATGGGAGGTTTGATCCACTGCCTCCCGAAGGCGACGACGATGGTTCCGAATCCTCAACCTCCACACTGGAAAGCAGTACCAATCCACGAGGAAGGACTACCAACCCAGGAACCAAAAGTGTAGCCAACCAGGAAGAACCTGTGACGGGTGGAGCCATGATGGAGGTGTACTATGGTGGACATGGCGATGCATGCATTGAGTTGAAGGATAGGCGGCCCGCAAGGAGGAAGAAGAGGATTATAAAGAAGGGCGATGTGGAAAGGTCGACCGTCAATGTGGGTGATGAGCTGCTTGAGTTCCTCTTGGACCTGCAGGAGGAAATGGAAGATTTGGTTGAGGACATGGATGACTATCAGCTCCCAATTTACACTCAGCACAAACGGAACGGCCAAATATTCTATGGTCATCCCAAGTTCAGAGGGTCATCCCAAGTTCAGAGGAGGCGGAAAGTGGAGAGACTGGGCCTTGTTTGACTGGGGAGATGAGGAGGATGGTGGGTATGGGAAGCTGCCAGGTCATATCCAGTGCTTTGTGACACTGGAAGGGATTGATGACGATCCTGATGCCCGTAGAACCAAATTCGGGGGTATCCACCTGGAAAACGGGACCTAT